ACTCGGCAAATGACTCCGTCGCGATGGCAGCTATCAGGCTCGATTTTCCGGTGGCGCGGTCGCCGATGACCACTACTCGAACTCCACAGCGACCGCCGAAGCTTGACTGATTTGCCATTGATACGATGCCAGATATCAGACCAGGAACGACGGGAAATAATCGAAGTACAGATAGGTAGAGTTTCGGGGTTTAATAATTGCTTGGAAATGTTAGTTAATTTTTATGAATTAATTATAAAATAGTTACTTTTAAGATAATTAATACTAAAATAGTTTAATTATTCAATTTATCAGTACAATTAAAGACAACTTTGCTTTAATCTTTATAATGTTTAATAATATTTATTATTTTAATTATTTTATATACTATTTTTAACATTGTTTTGTTTTTATCAATTTAGATGATAAATAAAAAAATTAAATTACATTTGTAGGAAATAAAAAAATAAAATAAAACGAAATGGGTAAGAATTTAAATAAATAATTTTAAAACGTAAGAAACAAAATGTAAAATTTCAATGGCTACAAAGATTAAATGAGTAACTAAACGTATACAAATTAATGACTTGTTACGTATCGTCTTCTGCAATTGAATAACGATGTAGATTATTTTATGTAATTTGACTTTTTCTTCTTAAAACGACTATTTATGAATTCAAAATAAGAAATAAATATGTATTATTACATAATAATAATGAAGCTCTATATTAAAAGATAGTTTAAATTCGATGGAAACGTGCTCTCCTAATACAACTATTTTATATATTGATATAATTTTCAAAATAGTAACTATAAAATTATAAGAATTAACTTATTATGAGTGAGAAATTATAATTAAATTATATATATATATATATATATATATATATATATATATATATGAGTATATTTTTAATTGAGTTTTTAAAATAAACTAAAGAAAGTAAGAATTAATTTACTTTTTTACAACGATTATTATCTAATTTTTTTGTAAGTTTAATGGTCTCACATTAGATACTTTTTTTTCAATTTTTAATTTAATAAGACACTTTCACGAAGAGTTTATTTTATTATTATCAAAAATATATTTTTAAAACAGAAAAATAGTTTTCTAATTTATATAATTTACTATAATGTAATTATAATAAAAAGTGTAGTCATAATCAATATAAAAAGTGAATATGTATTTTTATAATTAAAAAAGTTATATTAATTTTAATTATAATCTATATAAAAATAATTTTTTATTTCTAAAAAACCAACGAAATTAAATTTAATTTGATATGGTTAACGGTATACCACGTGATGCCAACTTATTTTCTTGATGTGTGCTACATTTGTACCAAGTTTGTTACCAGCACGCTACACTTAGAAACTTTTATTCTTTCCACAATCACCACCACCACAACGTTGTTAAACCACCACCTTCATCCATCATCGTTTTCATCTTCGTCACCGCAAGACCTTCGTGTTGCGATGGTGAAGCAAACTTGCAAACCCAAACCACCATTAAAGTCAAATTGAAGTTCATAAACCTTCATCGCGCATCAGTTCGTCTTCCTCCACCACCATAGAGACCAAATCAGAACCTAGAAACACCAAAATCACATAATCCTAAATCTCCAATTTTCAAAAACCTTAACATCACGCGTCTTCTTTCTCATCGCAATCATCAAATCTAGAAATGCAAAAACAAACCCTAGCGCATCAATCTTCAAACCGCAACACCATCTTCCATGGCCATCATAGTGAGTCCACCATGGACAATACCTGCAAAAGGGTAATCATGCACTTCATCTTCTCGAACTCCTCCATCACGAAGAAACCTGCAGGAAAACACAAAATCGTGAAACGATAGCAGTTCGCGTCATCCCTTCAAACCATCTTCATCGCAACCAAATCACCTCACGAGCTCCTCCATTTCCAATCTCCATTGCGCCACAAACAGCCAGGAGGGAGAACCCCCAAATCGCGAAACCCCCTTTTGCGCAGCCATGGGAACCTGCAAAAAACCAGACAAATCTCTAATTCAAGAACCTAGAAAACACACTAACCCTTCGTTCACTTGAATGGATTTGGAGGAGAGTGATTGAGTGGATTTAAGAGAATTTGAAGATAAAATTTTTGTTGTTTATTTGAGTGAATTTGTAGGTAAGTGAGAGTGAATTTGGAAGCAACGTTTGTGAGAATTAGTGTAGGATTTGATTGATGTGATAGATTAAAAAAATTTACTTCCAAATCCACTCTCACCTACCTCTAAATTGACTCAAATAAACAACAAAAAAATTTATTTTCAAATCCTCTCAAATCCATTCAATCACTCTCTTCCAAATCCATTTAAGTGAACAAAGCCTAAGTGAAACAAGTATCAAAAGTGGCACACAGTGGGCAAGTAAGTTGGCATCATACGTGGTACACCGATAGCCACATCAGATTAAATTTAACATCGTTGGTTTTCGAAGATTAAAAGTTAGAATTTCTTAAGATGAAGGATCAAAGCGAACTAAAATTTGGAAGAGTGACGAAATCCAAAAATGTTTTATACTTGATAAACTATAAACATATTTAACCTTTTTTTTAACTTGTAAACATAAATACACATTCATCCTCCAATTTTTTTTTCCATTCTTCCTGCACTTAACATCAAATCCCTAAATATATCATCATTTATTCCAACCCACTCTATACTCCCCTCTCTTTTCATTCCCTCCCATATTTGCTAGAGAGGCTTGCAACCCGGAGGAGCACCCAGCAAACGCACGTGGTGGTGGCTCGATTTGCTTTGGTATGTATCAACGAAGGTGAAATAACTACTTGCCAACATTGTCATTGTGCGTACATGGCACGATCTGTGTTGCACGTGTCTTTCGTGACATTTTTTTTCCGATTTCGTTTCAAATCTATTTGTTTTGTGGTTGGTGTCGCTCGGAATCAAAATGTAACAATAGCACCCGAAGAGGAAGAGAAGCCAAAATGAGAGGAGAAGAAAGAGAAGGTTTATTACTAAATTCATTGTTTTTCTCTTACATGTTAGCGAAAACACATGAATTATTACGCTTGTTTGTATATATTTTTTAAATATTTATAAATTATTTAAAGTTTAAATTAATAATTAAAAGAGTAAAATTGAAAAAGTGTATATAATCATAAATATAGTTATAAATAAAATAAATTTTAGATATTGAAATAAAAAATATTATAAGTAATATTATATAAATAATATTATGAGTAATTATTTAAATTTGAAAAAAGTTACTAAAATAATTAAAGAGTAAATAATTCTGTTATATTTGGAAACATGGTTACTAAATGATAATAAAGTAAATAATTCTTTTATAATGAAATAATTACTTCAATTAAAAAAAATATTTATTATAAAATGATAAAATTGAAAAATATTTTTTAATTGTGAATAATTATTTAAATTAAAAAAAGTAGTAATTAAGAAGACCTCTTTATATATAGTAATAAATTTTTATGCTTTTCAATTTTTTTCTCACTCAAGATTATCTATGTAACCTGAGGTTGCAACAATGACTTTGAAAGTGCACCTGTAATGCGAAGCTTGCTCTAGGAAATCAAGAAACACATCAAGAAAATGAAAGGTTTGTTCTGTTGTGTAAAAATAGAGGAATATACAAAAAAATTAATTTTATGAACAGTTAAAATATGTTAATAATGCTTAAAATCTATTGATATAAAAATGACTAAAAAATCATTGATAAAATCTTTATATATAAACTTTATCGACAAAACAAAACTTTTATCAATAATCAACTTTTGACGAACCTATTGATAAAATCCGTTAATACATATTGACAAATTTTTCCTATAATAACGTTAAGATATCTTAATAATTCATCTCCATAAGAGAATACGACAACAAAGTATCTAATATATAGACAATGTCCTTGAACATATTAATAATAATAAAATGTTATATATTAAACTTATTTTTTTATTTCTATTATATGTAAGAATGTAAATTACTTAAGATTTGATTACTAAATATTTTATACCATTAAGTGTTATATTGCTATCAATTGTTACATTACAGATAATATATTATTTAGATTATTTTTACATGGTAATTTAAGGCATAAAAGTTGTATTTATCAGTCTCCATAGGATGGACGTTTCTCTTCCATTAATAAGAAAGTATTTCTCTTGCATATTGTTTCTTTTATTATCTTCAGTTCAACCACTTTCTTCAACATGAAAGGAAGTCATGTATCAATGTAAATACAAAATAATTATTCAAAGCATATCTTGAATGTTTAGCATGAGATTATTTAATAACATATCAGTGGTAATTAAAAATAAATTAAAATTTAATAATAAAAAAAATTGATTTGGCATGCACTGCTTGACAGTTTAGACGACATTATTATTTAGAATCTACCTTTAAAAAGGAACAAGTAAATTATCATTTATAATCTTTTTATTTCAATATATGTGAAACAAACATCCAACAATATTAATTAATCAGTGTTAATTTATATGACTGTCAATGTTTAGTTCTAATGGATGTTAAATATTATTTTAGTGTACAGCATAATGATATACACATAACTTTATAAATTAAGTTTATAATTTGCCAAGATTTTAGCTAAATTATAATTATAAACGAATTATACTAAATAAGTTAGAATTATGAACAAAACTACATTAATAAATTTATATTTCTGCATTTCTTTTTTTTAAATCAATTCCTTAGGAACTCAAACAAAATGTTTTTCTACTTCCCTTTAGAAAATTAAGTTTTTATCACTTCTCATGAGATTATATTAAAATTTTTCATAAAATGTTGAGAATACATAATAAATTTTTGAATAAGAAAGGATATTATATGTTAATAAATCTATTTAAATAAACTTTGATTTTAATATCAAATAAACTTTAAGTTCAACTGAATTTCACAGTATTGACTTATAAAATAAAGTTTATATTTATACTATAAACTTTTATTATCATTAATCGATGTAAAAAAAGAAAATATACATTATATTTCTAACCGGAATCTTTGTGCTTTTTTTTTATTTACTGTAGATAAATAATCATTACATGGAGAGCTTCTATATATTGAGCATAACAGCAGCACAAGGAATGTATAACACCCGGATTTATGATTGGATTTTGTTTCTAACTCAGAGCATGCAACGCATTTACAATATGATCTCCTTTTGTGTGTTTTTGGGTTGCATTAAGCAAATGAAGATCCAGTTAGTATGTCCATTCCTTTGGAAGAAATATATCAGGAGAACAACTTTGACTCTGAGAAATAACACTGCATTGCTTCATACCCTCTTTTTCATAATTTTTCTTCTTTGTTGACTCACTTCTGTACACTTCTCCGTTTCTTTCGCCATATTTGGGACCTGCATGTCATTATGGAACTTTCCTTTTATATATGGTATAAAATTTAGAGAATAAATTTCATGTAACGAAAATATTGTTTTTTGTTGTTGTAAACATAACTGAATAACTGACTTATGTCAGACAGTTACTGGGTGCCATGCACACTCTATATACTTCACTGTTTTTGATTCTTTCAATACAGTTAATATTTCCCACTCTCTCTGTGTGTGCTATCTCTGCTGTTTACAAGTTTCTTCTCTGCATACTGTTACGTTAACATTTTTAACTTAAGATATTAGAATATGATATGTATAATGATATATGTTTTTTCTTAAATATAAGGGTTAGATGTGAGACCTTGAGAAGGTGAAATCTGCATGCCTAATTGGTGTACTTTTAGATTTAGAGCTTGAACTACTCGAGCTGGAAGGAGGACTGGAGCACATGCTGCAAAACATTAGTGAGGTTTATTATTTTAATGTAAATTCCAATTATGTGGATGTTCACCAAAACCTAGACAAATTGCATGGCAAAATTAAAATCTAAATTTTAGCTTTACTCAAAAAACGGCCTGCTGAAAATTATTTTATAACTAAATAGCCATATCGGATTTATTCATATTAAATTTTTCTGTTCAAATTAATTTTAAAAATAATATACACCCAAGAGAGAAGAGAAATCAAGGGTGCGTATATAATTATTATTATTCTTTTATAAATAGCTTATTTCTTCCCTAAAAATGTGAATGCCTATCTAATTCTTCAATATTATAAAAAAAATGTTCCAATTTGGTCGTACTCGTCCTTAGCATTTTCGTGACAATTGATGTGTACGCAAATGACATTCTAGTTGAATGGAAAGTTGATTTCTTTTTTCTTTTACGATACTTGTGATGTTAACTTATTATTTTCAATTCAGTTTTTTTTTTTAAATTAACCACTTTTTATCATTTTGATATGTGAAACTACTTTAAAATTTTAATTAAATATCAGATTGTATATATTAATAAAAACATCATTGTCTTTCTCTATTTTCATATTCTTTTTTCTTTTTTAGTTTTTTACATTTGTTTTATTATTCATCTTGACTTTAGTCTTGTCCATATTTTCATCAAGTTGATTATTTAAAATTTAAATAAATTTCAAGGCGTGTTGAGTCCCGTGCTCAAGGTTTAATATTGAGTTTGAGAAACTCTTTTAAATATTTTTTTTATCCCTTTGATAATATATATGAAAGTGATTGTAATGATATTTTTTGTTATGCTTAAGAAATTATTATATTTTGTTCATTCAAAGTTAAAATTTTAAAAAGTCATACAATAGATGTTAAAGTCGTATGGCGTGTCTATTATAAACTATTTGCACTTACATATAGTAGCAATTATTGATTAAATCCAATAGGTCAATTAGTAAGATTTCAAACCAAAAAATATATTCTAAATCAAATAATTAACTTATATGTTATAAACATTTTAGAACATATCCTTAAGCGCTTGTGATATATAAAAACATAACTTAAAATTTATATTTAATTATGTGAGTATTTTAAATTTTATATAGTGAACTTAGTATGAAGATGAATGATAGAAAATTAAGATGAATCCATAAAGAGTGTTAAAGAAAAAACAAGAAGCAAAATGATAATGCTTTTACCAATAATTTATATATAATGCGAGACTTAATTGAAATATTGAAAGCATTTTCAAGGATTAATATGAAATTAAATGATTAAATTTAAAGACTCTAGATTAATAAAAAAATATCATGTCACGAGTATTTAAAAAGTAAAAATAAAGTTAACTTTCACTTCGGACCACTAGACTAAACTCTCACGTGTCATTTATGTATACGAAGTCAACTACCACGTAGACCCACAATATTTCAGATAAGTATCAAATTAACAAGAGGAGTAAATTGAAACATATGTTGAACTTTTTAACGTTATTTTTAAATTTTTTTTGTTTTGTTTGTTTTACTTTCAGGAGTTGAAAACTATCTATTTATCCTCTCTTTGTTTTTATCCCACCCAAGTTTTACTTTCTTTATTTGAAAAATAAACCCTAAAAAACTTAAACCAAACATCATTCCCAACATAAATTTAAACTTCGATTAGTTATGTTATTAACAACTAGATATTTACCCTAGACTAAACCCTTTTATTTATGAAATTTTTGCTGCAGATATGACAGTCTACAAACACAAGCTTCAAACTACAGTTAAATTTCAACTGCAAACCTGGTTTTCTTGTTGATTTTGTGCCTGCTTTTTGGGGTAAGAACACACCAGTACCACCACATGATCCTTGTCCCGAAACTAAGAAAACAGCTTGCATTCCAGGCCCACCTGTGGCATGTTTAGGCCTTTGATACGATGATCTTGCAGTAAATTTTGAGCGCTGAAGTGAACATAACATATTTTAATTTCAGATACATTGAAACGGTGAATAATTAAACAAGATAAAGTCTCTGTCCATAAGCAACTACATTAAATACATAACAATAAATAATATTTCACTCTGCCTCCGCCGTATTCATTAACTGCTATATGCCTATTTATAGCAGAATTCCCGATATAGCAGACATTGACACAGTGGAAGTTACAATTAAACACTCCACCATTTTTTTAAGGCAATTGGGAGTTAAACAATTAAAATATACAGGTTGAATAAATAACAGATGAAAGTTTCAACGCCTTCGACATATCAGTTTATTTTTTTCAAAAAATTCTATTCCAGATTGCTTCTCAAACTGCCTCTGTCAAGAACTGAGAAATCCTGACCTTACACCCTCTTTATTTAAACCATCAATCCAAATTCTTTCTTATGTCACTGCAGCTTCGTTATGTATGAATGTGAGTAACGAGGCATGCGTCATGACATGTCTAATTTCGTATTGCAAGCTTTACAACTTTTTTAACAAGCCACTAAATGTCATCTACTTTAGCACAGCTTTGTTTAATATAGTATATATAGATGCTTCATCTTTTCAATTTTTAAAATGAAACCAGACTCACTAGCTAGATTGACACTGTTTTCAATTGACACGTTAACTTTCATCCCTTTATTGCTGAGTTTTGAGCCACGCCATCTGCCACTTAATTAAAACTAGGATCTGCTTTATTTCTGGTCTTTTGCTGTTCTCAACTCAAAAGAATGTTACCCACAAAGTAAAAAGATCAGGAATATCTTTTATCAGAAGCATGCATCTAAAAAGACCCTTTTGTTCTTAAAGAAAACTGTGTGCAGCAAAGGGTCTAACAGTTCAAGGGCAAAAGCATATCTTTTTTATTCCCACTAACACCTATCTAAATTTCCTTATACAAAAGTGAAAGTCACAGATATGCCAAATTCAAATCTTAACAAGACGAGCCCATGATGATTACATAAAACTACTTTTACATTCTCGTTTGGTAGTTTCACTTATTAATAACGTGCCTAACTCATTTTTGGAATTTCTGTCATCTCATATATCTATCTTTAAAGTGCGTATTACTAAAACTACACCCTGATTAATACCTAAACCTAACTAAAACAATATATTTATATTCCACCTACCACAAATACGCAAATATTGCACCTTTTTGTTGGTGACCACAACAGAGGCAGAGAGAGTGAATAAAAGAATTACATAGAACAGTACCTGTGATTGTGTTTCCCTTTGATATCTGTGATAACCTGGTTGCTGATATTTCTGGTGACTCCTCTTATGAATCTGTATGAACGTTCAGATAACACTAATTAGCTGAAGAATAGTATGTTGTTATTTGTAAAAACTATTGCATCACAGAAGCCAAATGCACTATATCAGTTCAATCAAACATTATGTGAACCCTGAAATGTGGAGAGAAATGAATCTCAAATTATAATGAAGCGGCCCAGCTGCTTGTTTGGAATTGAAACAGGTAGAAAAGGTGGTGTTTAAGGAAACAAAGTGATGAAAGAAAGAAGAGAGACTAAGGTACTATTAGTACTGATTAACCTTGTTGCTGGAGTCACATGCCTCGTCCAGAACATTAGAGGGTAGCAAGAGCTTTCCTTCTTCGAAACCAACTTCACCATCATCATGAAGAGAAGCCATGAGAGGAATAGAGAAAAGATTACAGTGATAATGATTTTGATGAATCTTACTCTGGAATGTGAGAGAGGGAGAGAGAAGCTTTTTAAACTCCAACTTCCAACCTGCAACTCAACTAAAATAACTTGCGTGTCAGTGACTGCAGAGAAAAATAATCTATCTTTCACAAAAAGTTGTCAATTGATTAGTTTTCATCCATATTCATTTTGCAGGGCCCACATCGATCACAAATACATATTAGGCATTTTAAAAAATAATTATCTTTTAAATAGAATTTTTTATCATTGAAAAATAGTTTTCATCCATAAAAATACTTTAGGCATTACAGAAAATAATGATCTTTTAGGTTTTTACTTTTTTTCTCCGTCACTATAATATCTTGCCCTGAATTAATCAAAATAAAAACTGTAAATTAATCAACATTCCTAATTAGTGAATGCTTATATTAACTTAGTTTAAAGAAATAACTGATTACTAATCACACTACTGGAAGAACTTTAGAAAAACATGATTGTTTCTTGAAAAGTAATTCTCCCAAACATGTGCTCCAGTGATTATTCTTTATGTTGCTTTTGGCACTCTCTTTTATTTACTTTATGTTATCTTTTGAAATCATTTGATCTGGTACTCTAGAAATGAGAGTCATGTGTATAAAGTGTTGAGTATAAACTAAAAAGTGTATATGCATCAATATAAATGAATTTTTGCTAATTTAATTAATTATTTTTAATTTAAGTTATTATAATCTTAAATACTTAAAAATATTATTTAGAATGACTTTATATCAAATTCAAATAATAATAAAAATATTCGAGACCTGCAAAGAGTACACATAAAAAGAGAAAAATACATTTACTTTCTCAAAAGTTATACTAAATTATATCTCAGTATCCTCTAATTCACTTTTAAGTATTTTCTTAGTTAAAATAAATAGCAATTTCTTTTAAATTTGTAATAAGATGTAAACAATAACAAAAAATTATTTTTTTAAATAAATATTTATATCTCTTATTTTAAGATTAGAATTAGATGAAAGAAAAACAAGTACAAATAGAAACCATGGTGTAGGACTTAGGTTGGGTTCGGTAAACCCCTTCATCTATTTTGGTGTTGTTGAAACTTTGATTGCGGTTAGTAACACTCTCCTAGTTGCTCCATGCTCTTGTGTTTATTTATTTTGGTCAAAACCTTAATTGGAATATTATTATTTTTTTAAAATGATGTGAAATTGTTCTAATATATATTTATAGTAATGTAATGATCATTGTCAAAATTTCGTTTAATAAATCATCTAAACCTAAATTTTCAAAATTAGAATATAACCTTATTATATCTACATATGTGGAAGCTATAATTGTAGCAACTATTCTTAACCACCATACCAAACCCTTCCAACCTTTTTGAAAGAGTAGGAATAGAAACAATCTTCACCACTTCATCAATACACTATTTACTACTTTAGGAAGTGAATGGATCAATTTATTCGATCAAATTAAAAAAAAATGAAATGAGGTTTTGTACAAGTTAAAATTAATTATATACAAGTTAATTTGTAAAAAAATCACGTAGTTTCCTTCTAAAAGGGTTTGTTTTACCCTTGAATTTATTTTAATCTCCCAAATTTCAAAAAGGTTCTTTTAGTCAAAAAAATAAAAAAATAAAAATTCATCTTGGTAGATGAACATCTAATATGAATGACTAAAATTAATTTTTAAATATTAAACTTCAAAAACTCATCTTAATTTCTCAAATTTATTGTTTGAAGTCTAAATTTTTTGTTTTTAATTTTGAAGGATTAAAACATTTTATTTGGAAACTAAAAATAAGAATTATAACCAAATTTGAGATTTCTCTAGAGGATACACACACAAATTTTAACCTGAATAATTCATAGGTAAATTATACAAAATCTTAAAACTAAAATTTATTTTTAAATCAAAATTTTAATATAAAAACATGATAACTTTTTGTTATAAAGACCGCACACAATTTTTAAACAATTAACTAAAATAATATAAAATTAGGTAACAATATTGTCTTCTGTTAACTTTTTATAAAAAAATAAAAAGGAAAAATAAGTTGTGAGAGGGAAAAAATAAAATATCTGGAGTTTTATATCACTGTATACTATGGATTGCCATGGATGACGAAAACTGTCATCTAAAGTAAGGGAACCATATTTTAAGATTTATGGATTACAATGATTGAGGATGATACATGTGGGACTGATGCTTCTGATACAAACTAACATACAATACTTATTCAAACAAAAGTCAATCTTAATGTTTTTGTTGTTTATTATTTCAACTTCGTTTAATGTGCAGGATTTGTTGTTTGAAGCAGGTTATGAATGCGATTAATGAGCAGTTGAGAAGATACCAGAGAAAATAAACAAAAACAAAAAGGTGTAACATGTTTTATAAATTTATAAGACATGTTGTATTTAATGTGGCAGATTATGGTTGGTGAAGCAAGGTTCTTAGTTTTTCTGGTGAAGAATGTTGAGAAAACTAGAGACATATGGAGAGAACTAGATTGCATCTATCCAAACTCAAGTGATTTAGGTCACCAAAATTCTAATCTTATCATGATTTGACACCAACACTACACAAAAGCAGGTATATCGCAACCAAACTCTGCAAAACCAAAACTATATAAATAAATTATAACTAACCTACAAATTAGGTTTAATGTGGAGGATTAGTCTTTCCTAACATGGCAAATCAATGATGTTTGATTTTTTTTTTTAAAAGTGCCCTCATTTAATATTAACCCTACATAGATGGTCAATTAAACAAATACTTCTTAGAAATAATATATATATTAATATTATATGTAATAAAGTGTTTGATTGTAAAAATTACAAAATAAAAAGTTGTCATCTAAGTTACAGGAAACATATTATTCACCTAAATGAAGATTTTAACATTATATTTTTAGTGTATAATACGAGCTTTGATTATTTTTGTCTAACACACATATGTATATATAAAAGAATAGAATAAACTTATATATATATATATATATATATATATAATCAATTATACACTACAAAAATCTGGAATTTTACCAGGGGTTTTTTTTCATATTTCCGGCGGTTTTAACCCCTTGTAAATGCATTTCCCGCGGTTGGAAAAACCGTCGGGAAAAGCACCGTCGGCAGATATTTTTCGGGGGTTTTACAAAAACCGCCGGTATTTGCGGGGGTTTGATAAAAACCGCCGGTATTTGCGGGGGTTTGATAAAAACCGCCGGTATTTGCGGGGGTTTGATAAAAACCGCCGGTATTTGCGGGAGTTTGGTAAAAACCGCCGGTATTTGCGGGAGTTTGGTAAAAACCGCCGATATTTGCGGGGGTTTTATGAAAACCGCCGATATTTACTGAGGTTCAGCAAAACCGCCGGTACTTGCAAGGGTTCTCCAAAACCGCCGGTAATTACTGAATTTTCATAGTTAAGATTTCTAGAACTGTCAGTAAATAATTTGTTTTTCATTATTCAAATGAATTTAATAATCATAAAATATGTTTTAATAATAAACCAAAATGTGAAACCAAAATTAAATATTATTATAAAAAATAAACCATAAATGTTAGAAATACAATTAATTGTTCAAATTAAAAATAATATGTTCATCCCTAAAAATTAAAATAAACATTTTCTAAATTACAATCATTAATCAATTTTGTTGTTCTTCATTGTCTTCATTGCCTTCATCATTTGGCACACTTCTTTTATCATATATCTACAATATAAAATAATAATTTGTTAGTATACTAATGGTATGCATTGGCTCTATCAAGACAAAGTGATTAATAAATGCTCCATTCCTAAGTAAAGTAACTTTGTTTAGATGAGAAAAATATCATAAAATACTTCACAGACACTTCAAATACTCCTGGTTACATATTAAGATAATTTTACTTTAACTTAAAAATATTTAAATTAGTAAAGACAAAAAGATATCTATAAATAAATTGTAACATTTTATTATGTCTACAATGACCCATGCTCATTTTATAAGAGTATCACGTTGGATTCAATGTGTTTTATGTTAAATTTATATTAGTTTCATATATTATAGATAATCACGTTTTCTAAATCATGAAATTACTTTGATTCAAATAACATAGGCTTAGTTTAACAACTATTGATCAATAACCAAATCTTACCTCTTGGAATGAATCCCATCAGCAGATTCTCCGTTTGTTTTACCAAGTTCACTACTTTTTACTGTAATCTACATATTCAAACTACAGCCACTAGCATTTCCTTTTGATCTTTTGACTTGTAATTTTTCCTTCACCTCAGGAGGTTTAGCACCAACTTCAATGTTGCTTGGGTTATTAATTTCCCTGCATGTCAACTTGTAGGTTACTTTTACTTGGATAAAGACAATTAGCGCACATGAAGGAGAAAAAAGACAAATGCAAAACACTAAAATATATTTTTGGAGTTTGTTTACCAAAGGCCACTCAGTTTACATTAACATCTAGATTGAGAAAGCTTGTCAAGCAGAAATGGTTTGGTTATTTTTTTCACTTGCGGATAGTGATCAACTTGCAAAGGATTTTGACAAAGCCTGAAAATTCAGTAGCCCAAGATCAGATAGCATTTATGAAACCTCGATGGAAATTTCCAATTGCAAGCTAAAAGTTAATCCGAATCAGGATCTTAGACATTAGAAGCTTCAATGGTTTAATTAACCAAAAGTAAGGATAAACAACATCTCCTAAGTCAATTTTAATTTCCCTTTTTGAATACCAATATCCCCACAATGTCCTAGAGATCTCACACATAAAGATTATAAAGAATTAGTAAGTATATAATTTGATTAAAAATTATGAAAAAGTGTAGTGAAGATTAGAATGAAATGTATATATACATTATCGAGTGAGAAAAAGTGTAGCTTTGGGATAGATCTAAAGGCATACATATCTGGGCAAGTAGTTTCCTTAGAATTGCAGGTTTCCCATCCGCGTACTTGATCAGACCATGTTTTCTGTTTCAGAGAATTTGGAGTAAGCATCAATCTTTGATAAGAAGTATCATACATTGGGATAAAATACCGTTATATTCTCTTGAATGGCTTTGGTGAAGCTATTTATGTCTGAGTCATAAAATCTTTCTTTGGCTGTTTCAATTATGTTGACATCCCAAACCTGTGTAGCAAAAAATTGGTGAGTAGAGTAGATGGTGAAATAGATCATACAGTAGTAGTGAATGAACCTGAGAATTAGACTTACATGGTGAAGATTTTGCTTCCTTCTATACCAGTGAATGTTAATTAAATTGCCTCCTTTGTCAGAGGTAAATCCCACATGTAGAGGGTGCCGATTCACCACGCAAAAGAGCCATTACAATAACTAAATTGCAAAGTCAGATGCTAGCTTAGTATATGGTGATTTTTGTGGTTTATCATGCTCACCTGATGTACATCTCCCATAAAATGAGAGAGGAACAAAAGAGTTTGTGTGAGGATATCTGATATCATGATTTCACCAATTCAATAAGAATTTGGTCAGTGAGAGAATAAGATATAAACAAAAAAATTGGGAAAAAATAGAGGTTGTAAGCTCATAGCAATGGTTTACATGGAGTGTCTTTGCCATAGTCCAGGAGCTGGTCTGTGTAATTCTTAATCGCTCTCACAACAAATCCTTGCAATCCCCTGAATTTTCAGACAGCTGATCAAAACTATCCCACATCACCCGCATCACCGGATTTCTAATCTATAAATTTTAGAATCCCAAAAGCGAATCTGATTTATGAGATTCTGCACTATCAGCAATTGATAATTTTTCAGAACTGTACAAATAATGTATCCTATAATAGTGTTAGATTATTTAACACAAAAACAGAAAATAAACACCAAAATCCTAAGGAGGACAAACATGGATATTAAATTAGGAGCAGAAGATGAGAAATGAACTTACTGTCATACTGATAATTGCAATGGTTGTCTGGCGTATCAGCAAAGTGCAATGCAGAAGATCAGTGCAAATAAACTTCGAATGTCTGG